GAAGTTCTTTACTATGAGGGTGGTGAGCCACTGGCACAGGTTGCCCAGAGAAGCTGTGGCTGCCCCGTCCTTGGAAGTATTCAAGGCCAGGTTGGACAAGACTTTGTGGAAGGTCTAGTGGAAAGTGTTCCTGCCTGTAGCAGCTGGGGTGGAATTAGATGATCTTTAAGTTCCCTTCCAACACAAGCTGTTCTATGATCCAACCCCAACTATTCTATGATTCTATGATTTTGCCTACCAACGTTCTTTGAAAGAGGACAAATAAGTCTGAAGCCCCTGCCAATAATATAGCTATTTATAAACAAAAGATTACAAAACCATAGAGTGTGAAATGGTATGTAAATAGAGATTTCATTACATAGCACAGAAGAAATTCAGACTGCTAACAAAAAATGTTCAAAATAAATACCATGTATCTAGATATGGTTGTTATAAACCAGCCAAAACTGTTTTGACAAAAAGTACTACTGTATACTGTATATACTACAATATAGTCAGTGCAACATGGCATAACAGATCGTTAGTAACTGTGTTTTGAACTAAATATAAATTACTATATATACAGTAAATGTATGTTTGAAGTAAAATAAATTTTTTTGAAACACTAGTTAGGGAAGGACCTTCAAGGCATTAAACTCAAAGATTGTTTAACTGTTCCAGCTGAAACAAACTGGTATCAAGGCTTGTTTTCAAGTCCCATCAAATCTAATCTTTCTCATACACATTTCCTGTATAAATGTGTATGAAGCATTTCCTGTATAAAATTAGTAAATTTTTATTTCACTGAAAGGCTCCTTGTCCTCAGTAATCATCCACCTTTAGTTAGGAAGAGTGAAGAAATGATGCTGGAAGCTAGATCAGTGAGAACACTTCAATGATTGGTAAGAAAATTATTTTAATCAATGGTACAGACCAAGGTGAGATACAATGATTAAAGTTAATGACTCAGTAAGAGATTCAGGCATCTAGAAGAAAGCCTGGAAGACATTGCAGCCTGCATTCACAACAACAGCAATGTAAAAACCTGCATTCACCTGCTGCCTCATCCCACTAGTTCCTAATAAAGCAGTCTGATAAACACCCTCAGAAAATACTGAGGTATGCAGGCAGATGATCATGAGCAATTGTCCATCAATTGGACTGCATTAAATGACTGTGAGTTTATTCCCAGCCTTTGAGTGGTGTTAATATGCCCCAATTTAAAGCAGATATAAGTGGCTACAAAAATATATGCAAATAAGTTGAAAGCAACTCTTGAAGTGGTAACTGGTTCAATTTCTGACCGCACGGTTGTAAACAATCTTTTTAAAGTGGTTGTGTCACCGCAGCTGCAACCTGCCCTCTACATAATAGCTGCCTGTTACAGAGCACTCATACATAAAATGAATGATCAGTATCTGCTTCCCTCCTCGTCCCAAGGGATGCTACACATGTAAAATAAAAATGCTTCACTTAAAGGGATAAAATGGTTATCAGCAAAACATTTTGCATGTATTAAGAAGCATAGAACACCAAAGATGGTAAAGCTCCTTACTGTGTGGAAATCATAGCTTATTCAGAAAATATGTTCGTATGTTTAGACGTAAATCAGACTGATGTAATCAATTCTTGTATGAATGATGTAGCATTTCATTGCTCATTAACGCTGAAGAAAGCTTTGCAGCATTTAATTGCTAGGAAACTTTTAAAATCAGCAGAGCTTGTAAACCTCTGAGCTCTTTCTCCTCCACATTGGCCTTTTAAACATCTCTCCTTCTAGTTGGCTGACCCTGTATCCCATTCTGAGACACTGAGACATAACAACAGCGTTAGGTTCCTCACCTTGTCCCTGTCAGTTTGTAGTCAGAACCGCTTGGCAGTCAGATACCTATGAACTTTACTGAATCTGTATTGACCACAGAGATGAATCTGCAAAACACGCATCCTCCTCCTAAGCATGCCTACTGTTTGCACATAGCTAATACTCAATAACTTGCTGAATTACATTAACATCAATTCCAAGTTTAATCTTTACCATAAAACCTCAACCTTGGAGAGCACATTTTTGGTTTTTATTTTTATTAGGTTCCCAAACCCCACAATTGAGCAGGCAGTTATGTTTCAAAACTCCAAGGTACTAGTCCTATTTACTTAATCATGGGTCTTTTGATCTGTCATATTTTAATTGTATTAAAATTTTCACATTAAGAGTAACATAAAAATAAAATTGGGGGTTCAATTATTCACAGATATGCCTCTTAGAGGCATACTAATGCACCACCTGAGGCCAAGCTGCCTGCAGCTTTGAAACATGTTAACATGTGGAACAGTCAATGTAAATAGCGGTGCTTAGTTTCTATGTCTGACTTGGAGGTGAAATCTTCACTGGTAAAAATTTTGATACTATTTTTGGGCAATGTTGCAGGTGAAAACTAAGTAAATGCATTGAAATAAAAAGTAATTGTTCATTAAATCTTTCCTTCAGTTAATAAACACTCAATTATTTCCCCTCCAGCCTATTCTACATTTTTCTCTTCTATTATTAAGTTTTCTAGGCATTTATTTTCAAATTCAGTTTCATTAAAACTTATGGATAAAGTATAAAGTCAGTCTTCCATCTTACTGATACAATCAGTGTTATTTCTAAGGGCAATATGTCACTTAAACTTCATAAAATTCATAAGCAATGTCAAAATTTATTTGAATGGTTTATTGCATCCTCGATTTGTTATAAATAAAACTGCTAGATTCTACTGCTTTCATGCCTGTCATTCAAGCAGTATTCACTGCTGCAATAAATTAGGTCTTAAAAACAACAAAACATCATAGAACAAATTCAAGAGATGCTATAAATAGGGAACAAAAAGGAAATTATCTAGTGCGAGCTTTTTGAGTGCAAATCCCTTGACACATGTTGCAACCAGCCAGAGAATTGTAAATTGTTGTAAATCTGAAATGAAGCAGAGGGGATAAAACTAACAAGCAAGTCATAAACTAAAACTGTTACTTGTTTGTAGAGATTATTGCTGCTGTCAACCTAGTTCAAAATCTTGCAACAAAGAAGCTGGTTTTATATTTCTTCCAGTGCAGCTATTGTACTTGTTCTGGAACATACATATAATACTTATCAATATATTATGTGTCACACAAAATATATGCTTTCACAGATACTGAATGTTTACAACAGCATCATGCCACAAATTTTAACACCACCCTCATCACACACTACTCTCTCTCCCTTATTCACCCAGAACAGATTTTCTCAGTACTGGACAGAGTACATAATGGTGTTAAAAAATAGTGTTCTATGCCGGGGGGCATATCACCACTGCATCAGCTGTAATGCAGGACCTGTCTTTCAAAATGAAGAGGACATAACAAAGATAACTCTAAACAGGAGCCTCTTACACAAGCAAATTAAAGTTTGGCAAGGTCACAAACAACTGGAAATAGGGTTATCAAAAGGACAGAGACTGAGAATCTTTGTAATTAGCCCTGTTACCATTTTTAGCCATGACACTTCAGACTTCTCACAAATATATTACTTAACTATAAATTTTCTTTCAGTGTTACAGCTTGGCAGATTTTCACCATTAACCTGCAGCCAAAATGGGATTCCATGTTATGTTGCCAGCATTACAACACTGACCTAATTTGTTCCTCATACTGTATGTGCAAAACAGAGTCAGAAATCACGAAAAAAAAAAAGTTTTTGTGTCTTATGGTTATTTACCAGAATTGAACCAGTATTTTATTACAAGTATCCTAAAACTGGAATACAATAAGGGGATAAAAAGGGAAAATCAGAAAGGTAGATTCAACTTGTTTAAAATATAACTCGTTTATTACAGCCTCTCACTTGGTGCCAATGAATTTCGTTATTTAAAACAAATATCCAGCTGTTTTTTAACAATTTTAAGTTACTTTTTTTTTATTCTTAAAAAAAAATGCTTAACTGCTCTAAAAAATGTGAACATTTAAAATATAACAGTACTTAAATACTGTACTCGTAATTTATTCTCTTTTTCCCCAGCTGAGAAACCGCCACCAAATAAAACATTTAAGTTCTGCCATGAAAATGTGTGTATGCCTCACCTCTCTTACCTTGGCGTTTACTGAATCCTTCCATTATTATTGAGATATATGAGCATTATTGCATTTCTTTTTTTACCACAAATAGAAACAAGCTTCCATTATATTTTTTTGAAGGGATTCAAGTTCTGAACCTTTTTCAAGTGCTAAATAGGATAGACCTCAGACAGTAACTCATGCAATTCTAGTAGTACATAAAATAACTTTTACTTAGTATTTAGTATGCATATGCTTCAATTCTAGGATAAATACTAAATATGACAATGCCATGGAATACTGTATAAATGTGGAGAAAATAAATTCCAGTGAGTTTGATGGTAAATCAACAAGACAAAAGGTAAGTATTTATTTAGTATAAAACAAAGCGAAAAGGCTCCCAGCTTTAGAATATGTTTCTGCTCTCTCCTAGCTGATGAAGGGTTGCTAAACTGTTGTCTGAGTCAGGACAACCTGTCTGAACAGAATCACCTGAAGAACGTTTTACTCATGTCGTTTGCTCCACAAATTTTAATTAACTTCATTAGCAAGATATTTAGATAAATCATTAGATATACAAAAATGTTTTTTACAGACTTAAATGTTCAAAAATCTCAAAAGTGTACTCACATCCTAATGACTAAGTCTGCGACCAGAAAAAACAAGCAACTAAACCACTCTTCCCTTCCAAAACCAAGAAAGGAAAGAAAAAAGTGAAAAAGAAGACAAATTGAAATAATAAACTATCCAGAAAATATATCAGTGGACCAACTGCTCAACTGTGACAATTAATGGCCTGTTTGGCATCTCCCTGAGATGAAAGAATGAAAGATGAATGTTCAACAGAATGTTGTTTTTTGGTTTTCCCCTTGAGCTAAAGGTGCTTAAAGAAGGTACAAGTTCAATGCAGCAAAACCATAACCAGTCACAGAAGGATGCTGTAAGTCACTTACAGGAACGAGGAATTTTTTTATTTCTTCCAAGGCATGACTCATACGAGAATACGCCTCTCCAGGTGGAGCAAACACTTCAATTAATACGTGAAGCTCATCACTCAAGTGCGCGTATTTGGCTTCTCCACTTTTCCTTAGTTCTTCCTCCTACAAAAAAAGTGTGTGGGTTTTTTTTTAGAACTGGGAATCTACTGATTTTGTATTGATTTAGCATTTACAGAGAACATGACGAAAGGACATAATATAGCAGACTTCTAAACCCTTTGAGAAATAAAAGTCTAGTACAAGCCACTTAAGAGATTTAAAAATCAATTTTGAGTGTTTGAATGATAAAATCAGCATAATTACCATCTATAACAGATTTTAATCAGCATAGTAAAAACATGCTAAATACTCCAGAAGCAAGAGCTGAAATATTAAACCAGTAACGGAAAACCTACACAAATCTGTCTGAATCTTAGCTGTTCACAATGAAAAACAAAGGCCCATTTAGCATTTTGGAGCACTTTAAAAATGCTATTGTTTATTAAAGCATATAAGCTACTTAATGACTATCTGAAGGCTGCACATTTTAGTAACACTAAAATAAAGTATGCCTTAGTAGTACTATTTGAGATATAAGGTTTGAGTTGTTCCAGTTCTGATATATGGTACCTATACAATCTAGTGTACACTGATTAAGATGGCAATTCACCTCATGTTGATATATCTTGGCAATCTCTGAGTCCCAGTTTTCCAGCTATAAAATAAGCCTAAAAATCCTACTTTATGTTAATGTTTTAAAACATCAATCCACTTTTTTATACAAGGCTTTGAGATAGCGAATGTAAATTGTAAAACATATCCATAGTAGTTACCTCTACATAAAAACCAAACATATAAAATAGTGATCATGTGAGTAGCATTGGCTGTGACAACATAATGAAAAAATGTTGCCATTACTACAGAAGATAGCAATAAGTGATGCCGAAGAAATAATGAATTAAAAACTTCAGAATTAATTTTGAAGAAAATATGTATATATATTTGCATTTTATAGAGAGAAAACATAATCACAGAATCACAGAATGATTTGGGTTGGAACGGACCTTAAAAATTATCTAGTTCCAAGTCCCCTGCCATGGGCAGGGACACCTTCCACTAGACCCAATTGCTCCAAGCCGTGTCCAACCTGGCCTTGAACACTTCCAGGGCAGCCACAACTTCTCTGGGCAACCTGTGCCAGTGCCTCACCACCTTCACAGTGTGGTATTTCTTCCTAATATTTCATCTAAATCTACCCTCTAATCACAGAAAAAGTAACGTAATTTTCTTAAAATTGGCTAAGAAGTTATAGCTTTCTGTATATACTAAAATACTTTATGAACTTTTGGATTATTTATATCTAAGACATAAAAATTGTAACAATAGATTAATAATTCTTATTTACTTATTTATTTATCCATTAACTTCACTTGTCTTTGCCTTGCCTCATTTACACCATTGCTTGAAACCAAAAGTATCTACACAATGCTATGCTTCAAACAATACACATACAGTTCTTTCTATTTACAATAGAAGATCCAGCCCCAAGGACTTACTGATTTTTCACAAAACACACAATGGTTTAATGCTTTAGCTCCAGAACCCTAGATCTTGCTCCATGATAAGTCAACATTTTGCAGATGATGATAAAATCATAACTCAATACATGTGACCCATGATTTTATTTTTGAAAGTTGAAAATTGAGATAATTGTTTTCAACTAAAAAGTAAATATTAAGATCAGCAGGACACAAGGTAGAATATCTTTATCTTTACACTTAAAGTATCTTCATCATTTTATCTTTTCACTTGAAATCTCACCAAAATGTCCACAGAACCAGAACATGAAATAATACTCTCTCATGAGATGTTAAAATGCTTTTCAGTTTTCTGGAAAAAAAACCCAAACATATGATTGTACCTCTGGAATAATTTGACATGAAGTATTTCAACAGAATTAAGTTTTAATAGTTGTAAAGTGATATCCTAGTAATTGCTCAAAGTTTTCTGCATAACACTTTTTAAAAAGTCTCTTTTTAAAAAAGATTTTTTTTCAAAGATTTTTAAAAGATTTTTTTTTAAAAGGTTTTTCAACACCAGAAAGCCCCCAAAGTCAGTGCTGCAAAGCTGACATCCACTTAAATTTAGGATGACAGGACTACCCCTTCCCCTGTACTTCAGTGGGTTTTGCCTCCTGCTAGTTGTAGCCTAGTTGCACAGAGCTCCCACAAGAAGTCAGAGAGCCTTCCTGGAGCCCAGCTTCAGTTTAGTTAGGTGGAACAGGAGTCGGTTCATTTCCCATGATCTTTGCTCAGTGTAAGTAACGGCCAAGTCCTTGGGAATGATCAGGAGGCTCTCCCGTAAACCATGCTTCTGATTGAAACTTAAACAGTTATGAATAAACACCCCAGGTAGTACTGGTAAGGACCAAGACGGATTGAGACTTTCTGGCATCTGCTACACGAAGGCAAAATGAGTGACATTATCATAAATCTATCTTATACAGTGCTATTTATAAGGTTACGGAAGTGCTGTTGGCCTTGCAAGACTGCACCCTTAAGGGTCTCTAATGCACCCGTCCAATCACCTATGGACATCGGTTATTTTTCATATAATTATGCCTTAAACACCTGTTAGGTCCAGCTATTCCCCATGGTGCTGTCTGTAACTTTTGTCAGATTCTCACACCTTTTTACATTCTACCATTTCCCACATCATGTGAAGTTTTCCATAGCCTGTTCAGCTTGCACAGCTTTGTCCCAGGTTTAGCTAACAGCCTAGTCATTTGCCTCCAGCTCTATCATGGGGATTGTAACTGCTTAAGCCTACTCATGTAGACATGAATGGAATCACTGTGAAAGACACTCTGCATTGAAAGCCTGATGCATTCACTGTAGAGAACGACCTTAAAAACAATCAAATGCAGTTTATGTCTCAGGCACTGGATCTTAAGGAAAAAAAACCACAATCAAACATGAAAACCAACAACGCTAAACAAACAAACAAAAAACAAACAAAAAAAACACAACAAATCTAGGACCTGATCAGCTCTGATTTATAAAATGAATGGAATAGATTCCCTGGGCTTCTGGATCAGTGATGGCAATCTCTCAGTACTGACCCTCAGGTTAATATGTTCTTGTTTACTGAATGGTGGTGTTTAACTGCACTGCAGGATAAGTACAGCAGAATAAAACACACCACCCTCCAAAGACAACTACCCCCTCGTCCTGATCCTTTTCCACTCCCTTCTGCATGCCAATTCCCCTCATCTCTAAGACTGACAGTACCATATTCCACACCCAAACCAATCTCCCCTCACCCTATATGCTTCAGGATTCCTTCACCCTCATCTGCTGCCTTAAAATGTCTGTCACACAGTGCTGAAATCTACCTGCTCTTAACCTGATGCATGGCTCCATAAACCGCTCCCTCATAAAAGATAACAGGTGTTTTGAAACATCTGATGTGTTTTATAATTTCCAGGTGACCAAAGCAGGGAAAATGAATTATAAAACTCTATAGGAGAAATTTGAAGAGTACTGGCCTCTGCAAAATTGAAGCATGTGAGTGGTAAGGCTACAAAAGCCAACAAAAAGGATGAATTATCTCTGGATGAGAAAGCAACCTCACCATTTTAAAAGGATGTGTGTTGACAGAGAACTGATTTCTAGCTGGAACCCTGGCCAAAATGCTTCAATAAAACTACAGGAAGAAACTTGAAAGAACAAATGGAGTTTGCATAGCAAACAAAATTACACAACCCAGATCAATGAATAAAAAGTATCCTCATAACACTTAAATAACAGAATATCCAAGAATAATAGAAGCCTGCAGCAGGAATTATGTAGATCTCAGAGATAAATTTTGTCAATAAAATACACAGAACTTCCTATAATGTAACAAATACAGTTCTGAAAAGAAACAATAGGTACTCAAAGAACAAAATGAGAGCTGCAGTGGATTTCTTACCTTGCAAGAATTTGCAAATGAAAGCGCAGCACAGAGATTAGACAAGGATGATAACCACAGCGCTGTTGCTACAGAGGCATTATTCATAAGATCAATGGACAATTCTACAGAAGAAAACTAATGAGCATAAAGTTTTGCCGATGTAAATCTATTAATGTTTAATATGGACATAAATGCAAAAAAAAGGTGTTGTCTGCAACAATGACTGCAGTAAAACTAACAAGTGAACTATATAGTAACAAGTAAATCAGAATAGGTATTTCAGGTCCTAGGTCCCCTCAGTGGAGAAACAGAGAACAAACCAAACCAGAAACAAACAAAAGAAAAAAAAGAAAACAAAAAATGGAAATAATTTGAGAATGGATGCGGTAGAATGGGACAGCTCTCAGCAGGGTACAGAGCGAAGCTAAAAGAGTTTAGCCATCCCCCAACTCTTGTTTCTAAACCAGTTATTCTCATTCGAGGAAGAAGAATCAAGAAGGTGGAGATGGTGAGTACATGAGGAGTGCTCACACAGCAGAGCTAAGAGAGTGGGTGTACAACACCTGCTGTCAGCCACAGAGACCCCATAAAGAAATACAGCCATGCAGACAGAACACTGCTTACAACAGAGGAAATTTGTCGAGATACAGGTGATAGAAGTTATTTTTCTATACTTGATGCATCATGAAAATTCTTATAGTTGCTTTGGCAAAATAGAGCAGAGATTTGTGTACATTCAGCACTGCCTTGGGCAAACAGGCCCTTCAGTTCAAGGGTGCTTTATTTCCTGATGCTTTTCATAATGAAATACATGAACACCTTTATGGCAAAGAGGCACTAAGCTGTACCTAGATCATATTTTTGTTTAGATAGGTGAGAAAGAAAACAAAGACAAATCAGTAGAAGAATGTGATAACGGAACTATTGAATCACTTTTGTAAAGAGCCCAAACACCTGGGGTGAATGTTAGATGAATAAAAAATATAAAATCTGTGAAAGAAAATAAATGTTTAGGAAAAAGGTTAACACAATAAAGTGGTATGAGCCAAATCTGAGGCTACAACCAGTGACCACTGTGACCAACATCTAGTGATATATGTATAAATTACCTGCCAGAAAACTGACAGAGCAGAGAGAGAGTTCACAAACCTACAAATATTCCTACACTT